GGGGGGGGGGGGGGGGGGGGGGGTTTGAGAAAACGCTCCTCTGGAAAACCTTTGAAGTTTGCATTACTTCATGTCAGTATCTGTTCCAAGCAGGGCTCTCATTTTTAAGGAAATTTCCTTAAACTGAGGAAATTTTGACCTTTTAAGGAGACTTTTAAGGAAATAGAATTTTTAAGGAATTTCTAAGGAATTTTTAGTTTTTATCTAATATTTGAAAATATTGAAATAATGTTTAAAAAATCAGTCAATGTAGCGTTGTTTATGCAAAAAATACTTTTTAAAAACACAGGAAATGCAGTCTTATGCATTCAGGACTGCAAAAATTTTTCGAAGGAAGACTATTCCTTGACCACCAATGTGAAATCTCTTCTGACGATGCTGCTCAAGATCCCAATTCACAAATGAGACAAAAATTCTGGGAACCTAACTTTGTAATTCTCAATCATTCAGGCCATGAATTACAAAAAAAACATGCTTAGCCCTCGTTTAAGGAAATTTTACTAAATCTGAGGAATTTTTTACCGAGAATCTAAGGAATTCCAGGCAATGGGAAATGAGAGCACTGGTTCCAAGCTCATTCGAATTTTTTCAAACAATCTTGGCTTTGTGAGTTTGTTCCGCTATGCTTCTTCACTTAACTACGGCATTTTCATTCATCCAAGTACACCATCAAATTGATCAAAATATCAAATGTATAATAATAATGAGAAGTGATGATTCCCTATATTACATTTTCGTAGCGCTTTGCATTGTGGTTATAGTGGTATCACTGATAAAGATAGCGGCCTCGAATGAAAATATTTAATGTTTCCGCGAATATTTTGCTGTTGGCTTTCGCGCACCTGACCCTAGCTTTTTTTAAAAGTTCTTGTATGGGTCTGGACAAAAAATAAGGCATCTTGAATATCAGTGATACGACTATAACCACAATACAAAACGCTACGAAAACGTAATAAGGGGAATCTAGTATTGAAGCTATTTCGTTGCAGATATATTAATATACTTAGGGAAATAACTGAAAATAATTTTTCCCCAGAATTTGGGCATCCTAACTTCCTAAGGCGTTCATTTTTTGTTCTAGGGGCGTCCCAGGACGCCCTTCTGGCTAAAAGCCTGTCTCCAGCCCTTCATAGTGTTGTGGATGTGTCAGCACATTATGCTGTAAAAAGCTAGCATTACCTGTGAAACTGGTTCATTAAATGATAACAACAATTGTCCTTTTATCTCTATCTTTTCTTCATCGGATAATGCACTAAGTAGTATTGAACATTTAGTGTTGATACAGCATAAGCACAATCAGGGTAATTTGAGATGTAATTGTAGGCTAGTTTGGTGCACTTTTTTGTATCAGAGCAGTTTTTTTCAGGCTCCGATATTAACGGAACAAAAAAAGATTACGCAGAAAATACCCCAACTATGCACGTATAATACTATGTACAAAAGCTTCAGCAAAATGGGCATTCTTTTCAAAAATTGTCAAAAAGTCTTATAATGCTCCAGATAGAATAAGGAAAAGCAGGATTCAAAGTCACATTTTCGAGTTTGTAGAATGCCGCTGCACCCTTTGTCATTGAGCTATCGAGTCGACAACAGGGATTGGTAGCGAGTCTTATCCATTGGATGATTCTAGCTATCGACTAATTGTTTATCTACCATATTTATAATAATATAGCTCAAAAGAGCATGCTAAAATTAGTGAAATTGCAAAGTTTGGTTGCAAAATGTTGTAAAATACGAAAATATATACGGTAGCCCTGTGAAATTAGCAAATTTTGAGTATTTTAGTATTACATGCGGAAAAATGCACCACTTTGGCTCAAAGGTGGTGCATTTTCCCAGGGGCGTAGCTAGGGGGGGGGGTGCGGGGGGTTTCGGTTCAGTTTTGAACCGAGATTTTCCGAAGTTGACAAGTCTCTCTTTCTCGCTCCGCCTCTCCGTGCTACATCATGTAATATGTACACTATAGTGGATCGATACTATATGACAATGAAAGAGAGACTTGGAACAAGTCTAGTCGAAAACATGAAACCAACTATTATTTTTATTTGTCCTTGGCGTGCATTGTACAGAATCAGTCATATTGCTTGCTATATTGATTGCATGCTAATGCTATAATAATTGCACTTGCTTCTAAATGATGCTTGTGAATTGTGATATTTGGAACCAGATGTTTATAGGTCATTCAGAATTATCTGCCCATGTGTCTAGTTAAGATGTACTTCTATAACAAGCTCTTACTTGGGAGCAGATTTTCTCCAATATTTATCCACGCCATTTTTGAGACAGACCACTGCTAACCATCTCACATTTGGATTCACTTCATGATTTCTGTATAAGGACTAGAAATCGAAATATAGCTGCTAGATGAATATATACTACCTTTAAATTGTTTTCGATTGGAAATACCTCATTTACATTTGATGAGCTTTGATCGAATACTGAATTTTTGTTTGGGGGTAAACATTTTTTTCCAGACATAATATCGCAGTCTCTCTTTCAATTCCCTTAATGTTTTGTTGACTGGGAAAACAATTGGCCGAGTCGGATATAATAATTTACCAACTACCTGACGACCGGGAGGGGGTGTTCCACGCCCCATACCTGCCCTCTAGTGCCGCCCCTGGAAATTTCTGCCATCCTAAGGGGACGGGGGAAAATGTCGTTTCTGGGGTAGGGGGTTAATTTAACTTCCATTTTCCTTCGTGAGGAAAGAATGGATGTTTACTGGAATGACCCAAATTGCACGGGCCAGAATAGCCTGCAGTATTGTAGGTAGTTCGACATTTGGAGAGTTTTTCTTGCAGACGGAAAATATTGAGTGGAAAATTATATACATTTATTAGAATATAAATTTGCACAAAATAAGTTCCATCTACAAGACCCCTCAACTACTATTGAATCGAGAGTGATGCCAACGAAATCTCGATATTGTACATACCATATACTATCACACTATATCACACATATATCACTGTTAATCTTAAATATTTTTACTGCATCATACCAATAAAACATTATAAAATCCTGGCTGAGTCTCCAAGGATTTCAGCTGTTCTTCAGCAGTCTTGAGCACACTGGGATCTTGACTGCAGGCATTTGTTAAAGCTTGCAATACCACAGCGCCGTCCATGCTCAAAACAATTTGACACAAAATATCTCTTTAATAATGCGGAAACCACATTTTTATACGAGACAGATGCATAATGGACATCACTGAATCGCCCCTTCGTTTTATACAGTTAGTATTTCAGTATTCAGACAAGAAAACGCCAGTATTTTGGTCAGAAAAACAGTAGATATTGAAAAACGTGGTTTTTATCATCATTTTGTATTCTCGGGTTTTTTGTCCTGCCCGGAATTCAGGTTGGGCAATTCTTCCGGGAGAAAAATTCCGATAACGCAGTTCTGGGAATGGATGGGCGTGACTCACTGCGTGACTGTATTAAAACATATGTGTCACAAGCATGACTTGAATCATAAAATTTACTGAGTAATTTTAATTTTTAACTTGTGAGAGAAAGAAGAGTTAAAATGGAAAATCCACAGCGACCAATTCATCATATAACTATGATGAAACGTGGCCTCAGTCCAGAAGAGACAAAAGAAATAGTCTCCTCCAAAACGGTTCAGATATTTCAAGTCTTATAACTTGCAGGACGAGATCCTGATCTTAATCGAATCAGAAACAAAGGAGACATTGTTTCCCATACATATCTTATATTTTTTATTTTACAATCTTTGTCACATGACCGGTTTAACCCACAGAGCTAGTTGCTCCTTTACGGGTAACCTGCTAATGCAATACTGAAATATAGGTTAACACAGTGGATATATCGCTTCAAAATCGCTAATCACTGAGACGTTTGATTTAATGTGGTCCTAAGCAATTCTAATCATGTGGATCGAAAAAAAAGGAATTTAATTTAAATTTCACATGCTTATTATTCCATAACGACAGATGGATACATGGATAGGCGACGATGTTCGCCCTCATTTTGGCAGGATCTTGGTATAATTCCAGCTTCAATGGGTGACCGGCATCCGCGTCCACAGAAAGTTCACGACGAAAATCTGGTCGCACATTATCCTAGAAAACTCAGAAACACAAAAAGGTCAAAAAGAGTTTCCCAAAAGGAGGAGCTGTTCGATATGTTGAAATTAGAAAATGTACTAGACCAAGCCATTACTGTAAGAGACAATGGTTTTCTCGAAAGAAACGGGCGACAATTGTCAGGTGTGGAGATCTGCAACGAACTGGATAATGTGACGAGTAGGTTGGTAAACATGCACATTCAAGGGGTGAATAACGCAATCGGTCACCGACAGCATGAGGAGTGAGGACCACTGAGATGAGGACTAGTCTCCTACGCATACCTACTTAGCGGGCTGAGCCCTCACGTAAGTGCATGGCGGGCCCAAAGTAGCCTGATAACAGACCTACGTTTCGCCCGCCCTAAAATTCGCGGGTCGACGGGAAGGGCTACGTTTCGCCCTTTCCGTCGACCCGCGAATTTTAGGGCGGGCGAAACGTAGGTCTGTTATTAGGCTAGGCCCAAACCCGCAAAAATAGGTCTGCATAGGAGACTACACGAGGATAGCACTTTTTTCCATCCAGCAAACCGCCCTATCGATTTTCTAAAGTCGTTTCTGTTTGGATTTTTTTATTAATTCGGTTAGGGTTAGGGTTAGAGTTGAGGTTAGGGTTAGGGGTTAGAGTAGGGGTAGGGTTTGGGTTAGTTACATAGCCATTTAACACCTCTTCTATCTTCCGAAAATGACGTCAGGTCAGTTTGCTGGATGGAAAATAGTGCTAACCACTCTACACGCGTAAAAATCATCATGTTGAAGTTGTTCAAAACGGGAGCGAACAATGTTGTGCTGCACCCCGTGAACAATATTGTTAACAAGTTGTTGAACCATCAATATTGTTGCAACTTGTTGACAATCATGTTAACAAGTTGCAACAGTACTGATGGTTGAACAACTTGTTAACAATATTGTTCACGGGGTGCAGCACAACATTGTTCGCTCCTGTTTTGAACAACGCCCAACAACATGATCAATTTTTACCCGTGTACATGAGGACTTGAAAACAATGATTCATCACTGCTTAACAACTACGACAAGTCAAATTGCTTTGACGATATTATATCCCAATGATATTTGCTCTCCGAACGGCTACACAAATTGAATAAACCATTTGGATGCTTCGTTCGCGACGTTGACGATCGCTCCAGATTTTTTCGGTGGTCGAGATGTCATTCCGGAAAATATCGTTCCTCTGCAATTTTAAATTCGTACATTCTCTATAGATTTTCTGATGTTGCACGAACGAAAACATTCCCTAAAATAACTAAAATTATTGAAGATAGCAACAACAAAATTTTCAGTCGAAACCATTCCCATTCCCATTCCGGATAATGATTTGTGGGTACCAAGGAGTAAATTGGGCCACCATTTTAATAATATAGGCCCTTCATAATCCCCTTAGGATATAAAAATTTGGAACCCCCTTTGTTTTACCCCAGAGGATATCTTACTATAACCTCTTTAGGATATCGCTTTTTGTTGGATATCACTAAAACACCTAATTTTTGCCATTTTTTTAAAAATCTCTCAAGCTACCCACTAGAAAAATTTAAGATGAAGACCCCTGCCTCTCCCCATTGGATATCCAGACCCTTCAACAGGGCAGTGGCGTAGCCAGACTATAATTTTTGTGGGGCATATATCGAACGCCGAAGGCGTAAGCCTTTTTGGGGGGGTCCGGGGGCATTCTCCCCCGGAAAAATTTTGAAATCTGGAGTCCCTCAATGGCGATTTCCCGTGTTTCTGGGGTGAGATTTTGCATAATTCTGAAGATTATTTACTGCAGGAAAGACCTGATTTTTAATGATTTCTCAATATTGTGGATCCTTAATTTGACTCAACGAAGCTTACTTGGTCGCGTGTAAATAGTTAAATCGAAGTTTTAAAACACATTTTAGCCAATAACCACCATAGGCATTATTTTCTGTAGTTAGATTTAGGAAAGATCAGAACTTTTATAGACAATTTGGTGAACAGATGACTGATTGGTAGTCACATGAGTAGTCATCGTACCCCTAATTTCTACCCGGATTTCATCTTTATACAAGGGCAGTCCTTCAGCCTATTGGGGGGCTGAGCCCCCCCCTTGTCTACGCCACTGCAACAGGGGGGTGCACATATTAAATGGATGGTCCATTTACAATCAGACAAAAGGCACTACCAATACCATACCATAGAATAAAGATCCATATAGAAGGGCCACTTAGGTCGGAACTCGGAAGCTTTGAAGTTTCTGTCCTCGCACATGTGATGTCGCATTACGCATGTTGACCGCCATTTTCCTAGCCAGTCAATGACATTTTCTGGCCAATAAACACGCTGTACTGGCTGGCTGCTCCGCCTTCTGACCAGTAAACTGCATATTTTTGCATAAAAAAATGCGGACACGTTGCAACGCCGAGTGGCCCTTCTGTTTATACTGATCTTTAATGAGTTTAATCTGTGACCATACAGTGGGTAACAGTGGTGCAACACTATACAATAGTTTACCACTTGAGATAAGAAACTCTTCTTCAGTAGCATCATTCAAAATAAGAACATATAAATACTTTTTAGAAACAATTTAAATGTAGTCATTTGTAATCTATTGTATATTTTTTTCATGTAATTTAATGCATTTGTTTGTTTGTTTAATAGTCGTAGTTATAGAAGTCTCACTGGCTCAGTGTATTAATTAGATTAGCTATACTAAACTGGTTTTGTAATACCTTCTTTAAATAAAGTCTATTATTATTATTATTTAATGAAAGTTCAGCAACAAAGTTCCGCAATGATGGAGAATAAGTTACGAAAAACTCTGGCATAGAAAGACCAACCAGCAACAGAGTTATCCGGCGTTCTCAGGAAACTACTGCATGAGCTCCACCTTTGAATTTGCTATATGCGTAAATTCTTAAACACGTCCGAATTTATCATTATGATAAATTCGCAGCACATTTTGAATTTATCATAATAATAAATTCACGGCACCTAACACTAACCCTAACTTTTTAAACTTTTTTTAACTTTTTTAAAAATCTAACTTTTTAACCTTTTTTCTCTTTTTAAAACTCTTTTAAATTAAAACTTTTTTAAAACTTTTTTAAAAACTATTTTTTTGGAAATCTTATATGGAATACCATATGGAAAATCTGTATATAATAACCAATAATTGTAAGAGTTCAGTGTCAATGGTGAAGGTCTCCTATTTTCCAAAATGGGCAGTTCTAAATTTAAAGTGGGCATCTCAATAAAAAATTGAGTTTTGTTAAACACCCATACAAAGATTTAAGGCAAAGTTGCAAATTAAAATGAACTAAATTGTCACAATAATTGAGACTGTTATGTTTAGATGGAAATTGTTTTGAAACCTATCAGTTAATACTAAATTATGATTAATATGTATATTATAAGAGTCTGTATTGTAGAAACTAAAATATTATTACCATTGATAACTAGGTTACCAAGGGATGATATAGAATAGTAAATTTGTATATAAAATGAGCTCTATATTGGTGAGCGAAACATGGGAGGTTAACCCACTAGTTGCATATCACTGGACACCGACAATTGTGAATTGTCCTTTTTTTATATATACAGACTATTTTCCATCTTATTTTGTGTTGTTTAACGTGCCAATAACGCCTACTAAATATTCCATGATGGAGCACTGTTTTTCCTGGAATGAGCACTTAAACGCCATGGCCTTGACATATCTACGAAAAAATAAACGAATGCATTTCACATTTATTGCTCTTAAAAAAAAACAAAGGAGAACATTATTTCTGGAACACAGGTCTAATTGACAAAACATGTGATAATTATACAACAACAAGGGCTGAGGTTCAAACGACCGAGAATTTTGCCATAATGGGCTCAAATGAACCATTACGGTAATAAATGAATAATGAAAACCATAATTTAATATACAAACCTGACACATTGTGTAATATGCTTTAGTCTACATCAGGCACTGCACGACGGTCTATCACAGGAAAAAAATCCTTCAAAGCAGGGAGTGTTTTCCAGTCGCAATCCTCTCTGATTATTTGATGAAGAACAAGCGGGAGTGTTGGAAATAATTGAAGGAAATATTCCTCAAGAGAAGAAATAGCCGGTGTCTTATTTTTCAATTGACACACTTTGCCATCCGGATGCTGAAATGAGTTTCGTATTAATCGAATGCAATGTGTATACCGGCTACCTTTATACTCTGATGGGGACTTTTGACCTCCATCACACAGCGTCCTGAGGTCATCGCGACCAATCACGTCTTTCCAATTGTCTGGTAACAACGAACTTCGGGTTTTGGATGGATGGCGGTTGTCCAGCTGATTGGAAACATCATTGCGGGAACTCTTTAATTTAGGTTCGTTGCCCGCAGCTTCTACAAATTTCATCTGCTCTTTGCGAGAGAGAAAGTAAGGATGCTTCAAGGCTTGCTCCACATATGGTCGTTCATCCAGGCTCCTAGCCAACATTTGAGACAGCAGGTCTTTGACCACAGGATCACAAAGCTCTCTCAAACCCACTGGATTGTCATCATGCAAATTCTTCAGTCGGTCTATTTTCGGACCAAATGGATGCTTTCCTTTGGTCAAGATGTAAAATGATAACATGCCTGCAACTTGGATATCTGATTTCTCTTTGCACCTGAGTTGTAATGGTGCATCTGAAGGGTTCCATATCTTATCAGAAAACAATTCACCCCAGTCAATACATTCATATGCAACCCAGCCGTGTGATCCACTTTCGTTACTGGTATGGTATGTTGCTGCACCTGTAAAAAAGTAAAATTGACCCATTTAACAACAATTCCATGTTTTAGTATTTCACTTTGTTTGACAGTCTCAGACAGTGGTAAAGATATTAGCAGACCCCTGAACTACCTATGCTTGCATAAAGTTTTCACTAATTTTGCAGAATTTGCAGTTTAGCAGACATTTTCAGTTTAGCAGACATTTTCATGCAGCTTTTTTTATACACCCTGTATTGGGAACCTGTACTCTGTCCTGGAGACATCTTTCCTGGGACAACATGAGAAGGACCCCAACAAATTAACACTGTATTGAACTGCCCTGTTAATTAATAAATCCTGTTGTATTTCTCCAGGACAACTTTAGTTCATGAATCGGACTATCCCAGGGGCCTGGTGGTCAAAAATAAAAGAGATTTTTAAAGAACGAGGCAGTTCTGTTCAACGCTAAATACTTAATATTGGGAGTTGAATACTTCAATAGATCTGTTAAATATATATCGAAAATACCTGGTTCTGGGAAAAACCGTCCAATACCAAAATCAGACAGCAGTAAATTACCCTTCACATCAACAAGTATATTAGTT